ATGAAAATAGTTCAAGAAAATTTTAATTCTTTAACAGCTTACTCCAATACAATACTATATAAAACTAATTTGTGTGATTTAGTTACTTTTTTATATCGATTTTGCTAATTACTACACTTTAAAGTACAATAAATATAATAAACATGCAAACAAATGCATCATTTTGTCACGCGTTAATAGGTGCCATATAAATAAAGTATTCAGTTATATAACAACAAAAAGCATATTTTTTAACTTTGCTTCCACTAATGACTGGAAAATATGAATAATTATTAGACATATGCACAGGGAGAATACAAAGTCGAAACTATTATTTTTTATTCGTGACTCGGTTATATTTTTTCATTAGTTAATGGTGCACATTTTGTATATACAGGGTGATCCGTTTTACATAACCCACTGTATTACTTACAAATTAAAAAATAACTCCAGGAATTATTTTCTTTGCTTTTTTTTTGTTACATATATATTGGTATTTCATATTTTTCTTGATTTATCAATTATTAAATACTTTTTCTGTCCATCTCTTATATATTATAATGATGTTAACTTTATTTTTTTTAATGACAACATATGTATATGTCATTATACATACTTAACAAAATAGAAAATGATCTAATTAAGAAAATAACTGGTCAATAAACACATTTGGAATAAAAATTCGAAGGTTATTAGCATTTTAAAATATTGACTGTGAAGTGTGAGTATGGATATTTTTATTATTAGACATTTATTGGTCACATTCCTCTCGCCAAGGTATAAATATGTAGATGACTTTCGAAATACTGGACTAAAAGTTGTTATCGACTTGTCATTTTTTTAATTACATTATTTTCTATTATATAAATTAGTTATAAAATATGTATGTTGACATTTAATAAAATAAAGTTGACACTTATAGATTTAAAGGACCAAACAAAAAAATATTTAACTAATGTTAAATCAAAAAATAAATTTTCTTAAGAAAAGCCAAAAATAATATTTTCAAAATTATTTTTATTTATTAAGTAATTGAGTATGTTATGAAAACGAGGGTCTTCCTGTAGAATCTAATCACACTTAACGCACGTGCCTAGTCATTATTTCTTTACCGGTGTTGCACGACAGTTTATGAGGTTTCGTTAAGTGCATGGTTAATTAATAAAAACTTATTGAAGAGTATATTTTTACAAAAAAAAATCATTAAATTCATGTTAGATAACTTATGCGTTACCATGATATAGGCGAGGCAAAGTAGAAAAATATTGAATCCAAAAATATTTTACTATAGATTAATGTAAATAAAACGTTTTAATAAACCTGATTAGGTTTGTTGAAATTTAATATTGTGTACTGTAAACATATACATATTTACTAGTGTACAAATATCTACTATTTTCTAATTAAACAGCACTTATTTAGTATTTTATTTTTTAATATTAGTCTCAATAGCTAGAATTTTTGTTATCAGTAGTACCCATTATTGGGGTACTAGTCAAGTCAATATTTAGATAAAAAAATGACCTAGAAAGTTATTATATTTAAGGTATTATATTTTTTTTGGTATTAGCTCCTCCCCCCTAGAAAAATTATGAAAACAAAACTGATAGTAAATCACAAAATGTTGTCTTATTCCACTAACTGATTAGCGAAAATATTTAATTTTTTTAATATTGTAAATAAAACTAGAAACTCGATAAAAATTCCTTACTTAAAATTTGTTTTTCATTTATGAACATTTTAAACATTACTTACAATTTTTAATAATTCATTACATCAAGACGCATTGAACTTAATCAAAAAATAATTGAGAAAATTTTGCATGTCGATTTTATAGCGAAAATGCCGGAAAATAACTAGAAAATAAATTAAACTAAAATAACATTATTGTAACAAATAAATATTACGATGATAAGATATCCTTCAATTAATTTAAATAAATTTTATTTTCAGATAATAATTATTATCAAAAAATTAATATTCCCTTATTCAATTACATTAGTGCTGTATGCGTAATCTAAGTGGTCCAGGGAGGACTTGGCCTTCAAAAATTATGAAAATTACATATTACTGATATAGAAATATTTTAAAGGGGGAGAAATTAAGTTAGATTCTTCATATATTTATATAAAATATATATAAATATATATAATATATTTATAAAATATATATAATATATTTATAAAATATATACAATATATTTATAAAATATATTTATATATATTTTGTTTAAATTGCGTCTAATGTTAGTTCAAAATATAAAATTAGTTTAAAATGATAAACAATGTTATTAAACTACTTTAATCGTGTAGCATTAAAACTGAAATGGTCAAAAGAAAGAGATACACCAAGTAAATAATAATAAAAAAAGATTGCTTTGACTAAAATAGATGTAGTAAATAGAGCTATTTACACCATTTCTACAACACATGATTTCCTGCAATATACAAATACAAAATCAACTTACTGAAGTTTTAAGCTATAAAAATTATTTAGATTTAAAAAATAAAATTTTTTAATAGTTGCGTTTTTTCATAAAATACATAATTCACTTGTAAACTAGTTTTTCAATCATAAACAAAGTCACTTTTTTATCAAGAGGTTCATAATTAAAAGGCATGGAATTTTCTGTACAAAATCTTTTGTCACAATTTAAAAAAATATATTAATTAAACTAATTTCTTCCCTCACAACAAAATTTTTTTATATATATTAAACTTCTTAATTACGTATATGACGTAAAAATATTTTTCAAATTTAGGATATTTTAAAGCACAATATTTTATCAAATTTTATATTATGAAAAACAAACAAATCATTTGTTAATGATAACTACGCCTTAATTTATTGAGGATATGCAATATAACACTCCTACTAAGATGAAAGATAGTATACAAATAGCGCCGTATAACGATACTAGTGTAACTTCTAAAACGTGTTATTAAAACTTATAAAACTACATCTACCCAATTGTATGGGTAAATGTAGTTTTAATTAAAATAATGAACATGAAAAATGACACAAATAATTTATCAGTAAACATATAAACATCAATAATTAATTTTGTAATGAGTTCAATCATTATGCAATTTATTCGATTTAATAAAACAAAAATACCATAGTTCACTAAAAATAATATTAACTATGAACAGTCCAAAATTGTTCCAAACACAACTTTGAATTCGAATTAACAATATACCATAGTTATGACCAAAAAATATCAAACACAAAATGCTCAAAAGAAAATAGGATCGAAAATCCTGAAATTAAATTTTTAAAAATGTCTGTAACAAAATTAATTATTCCAGTTCTTTGAAAAATTATATTTATAATTTATATAGCGTTTGTTTCATTCAGCACAAAACTTGACATATCTGCAAAACTTCTTAATACACAAAAAAATTGTTAAAGCTTAAACGAATTCGTATTTAAAAATTTACATTATGTAGTATATAATTATAATTAAAAAAATAAAAATAGAAATAATAATTGAATAATTTATACTCGTACAACACGATACCGTGTAATATCCAAGTAAACCTCACAAAACAAAAACATAAAATACTTTGAATAAAAATTTAAAAATTAATATAAAAAAACCCATAATAACAATTGGAGTTTTTTCTAGTCGGGGTGTCAGTATGTGTTTAGCGTTGATAATGGTAATACTGTTTCTGAAATACGTATCCGCGACTTTTCATTAATTTTTTGTGGCTTTGAGTTTAATATTTTTTAGTTTTTTAAATTAATAATATTTTTAATATAGTTTTAATTTTACATAATTAATTAGACACAAGTGATCAATTTTTATTATACGAAGTTAATACTCCAATAAAAATAATACAGATCAAGGCCCTAGTTAACAAGTTAGTATACGAATAAAAAACTAATGCTAGTTATTACGATAAGATGTTTATTATCAGACATTTCAGTTTGTGTTCATACATGACTATAATATGCGAAAGGAATTTCCCCTTCTATTTAAATTACCTGATGAATAAATCATAAAAAATCTATATTATACTTATATTTGATCAACCGACTTTCAAGATCTACTTTTTTGAATTTTATACTTACAAGAAGAACGATTTCTCAATATTTAAAGGAAAACTTATAATTGTTTTAACTTCAAAAATTAATTATTCAAGAATAATTGTTCTGAACTTACTTCTGAAGTAATAATTTCTTAAAATAAAATATTTCAAGAAAATTTAACATTATTTTATGTTATGAAGTAAATATAAATTTATAAGCTCAATAATTATAAAGAAAATTGTTTGATATTATTTTTAATTTTTAGAAAATATATTGGGCATAATTTCTCTCATAAATCATTTTGAAAATAATTGTTGCTTGTGTCAATTTTTAACTGAGATTGTGTCTAAAAATAAATGATTATTTTAATTATTCAAAAATACCTTCAAGGGAAAAAATAAAATTTTATATCAATAAGCACATAAGATATAAACTAAAACAATTTTTTTATGAAATGTATAATTTTTGGAGAGTCTATAATTATTTTATATGTAAGTAATCAAATATTAAGTTGGAATAAAAAACAACAAGAAAAAAAAATTATAAAATTATTATGCCTGTTATTATTACAATATTAACCTAAAAATAGCAATTCATAAAATTCCATGCATATAACGAAAATTTCTTTTTTCTATTCGTAAAAGAACACAGAATATTTATTTTTCCTTTATTCCATACAAGTTTGTATGGTATTTTAACAATAACATTTTACAAAGTGACATTATACTTAGAGACCTCGTGCAAGTCAAAAACATATATAAGATATCAATTTTACATTAGCTATATAGTTATACAGTGAAAAACATTTACTTAAAAAATAATTCACGTTGAACCTGGTCAAAACAAAATATTGGTCCCGTCAGTTAAATATATGAAATATATTTTGAATTTTTAAACACAAAAATATAATGTTGACTCAAACATCTCTTCATAACTCTATTTTAATATGTAAAAATGCAAATATAAATATACAATTAGTTTCTCACTTGTTAGCTTTTCCTAAAAGTTTTTTTATTGCCGCGTAGTTGTCAACACCAGGTAATTTCAACATTTTAATGCAAAGCTCAGGTTCCCACTTAGATAAGTAGTTGTCATCTTTTTTCATGTCAGCCAAGAGTTTTGACGCACTATGTTGTCTTCCTAGTACGGCATTATTGTTCTTGACATGACCGGCCACTTTGGACCAGTTTTTTTTTGTGCTCATATTGTATCTAAAAATGAAAATTCCACATAATATAAGTAGTTTTACTTAAATATAATGGAAACTTTATAAGTTGCAACTAGAAAATTTTCAATGAAGGCACAAATACTTTACACGATCATTAAGATATCCCACATGATATAATTACGTTCATATAAATACTAAAAATAAAAAATAAAAAATGGTGTAAGAAAACGTTATAATAATTATAACGTTTTAAATGTTATAATTATTATAACATTTAAAACAAAAAATCAAATAATGTGATATCAATAAACGTATTATGCCGTTAAGCCTAATATAACGTATACCGTAAAATAATTGTTATTAAAACAAAAATAAATTCTTTACAAACATTATTTAAAAAAATTTATATTTAATAAAAAAGTAGTTATTTTATAAGTTCTTTTTTATCATATTAAAAACTACTTATGGTAGTGAATTATGTTTTTAACTCATTTAACGTTAAAATAAAAAAAATTAAATGACATTTGGTTCAATTATAAAATAACGTTATAATATATTCAAAAGTTAAACAAAAAAACAAATTTATCTGACCCCTAGAAAAAAGTGATTTAAAAAAATTTAATTTACTATAAATAACATACTTAAAATAAACATAAAAAAAAGTAGGAAAAAATTTACTTTAATAAAAAAAAGTTTGATAGTAATTATCAACTTTTTATAAAGATTAGAAAATGATTATAATAAGTACATTTGTAAGCAATAAATAATAATTATTATTCAAAAGTGCAAATATAAATTACAGATTATAACACTATATTGAGTTATTCATTTTCATAAATATATAGTTTTAAATACATTATATTATATTAATAAAAAAATAAATAGGGCGAAGTCGATTTATATTAATATAACAAATATATGGATGCATTATATAAGAGAGAAAATTCAAATCAGACTGCAATTTTCACGTGTTATATTAAGTTTTTTTAAAGTTTCTTATGTACTTAGTTTACTAGAGTATTGTTGTTTCTATAGATAGATTAATTATTATTTAAATTTTTGGTTATCTGAAAAATTACCTTTCCAAAAGAACTTTTTACATCAACTATGAATATTAAAATGTTTAAGGTTAAAAAATGCAAACAATTTTTATTCGAAAATCAAACATATTACAAATCATATTTGGAATTTGGTTTAACAATTTACTGAACTAATTGCGAGTTGAATTTTATAATTGAAGCTAATATCCGATAGCCGTATCAATTCGTCACATTTCTAGAAGGTTAACTAAGAATATTTTTTATTTTCATACATATAAAAATACTTATTTCAAATAAAATTATTTCATAAAACAAATTATTAAATATCTACTAAGATAAACCGTTTAATGTTAATCATAAGAAACAAAATTTACATAAAACAACGGAATATTTAAAATGGTTGAAAAATATTTTCATTAATTGACTCATAACAATGCGCACATGAAAATTCATGAATGTTTTTAATAGCTTTGCGAAGGTTAAAGTTACACAAAAAATATAATACTAATTAAATAAATTCAGAATACCAGTTTGCATATCATTATAATGTATTGTATTTTTTTTTCTACTAAAACTATTAATGAGTATAATTTAATAACAATTTATTAGGAATTATTTCAAATATTATATATAAATAATAATAAAATAAAATATTATGAATATTAAGACTAAGATTGAGTCAACGGATTTAAATCAATTTAATTAATGATATTTAATCGCTATTTAATTGCAAGTAATTTTGATAATTCATCCGACAGTGTAAAAATTTTTATATATTCATGAGTAACAAATTATTAACGATTAGATAATACGACATACATGATTATTAGTAGTACATATAAAAGAAGAAAGTAATGATTAGCAACTGATATACATAATATTAGCATACGTATACACATGTTTGTTAAAAAAAAAAAGTACTAATTGAGTATATCCGAGAGTTACGAAAATATTACGAATTCAATATCTTTAATCAAATAATTATCTCACTAAACTTATTTTTATTAACAATTTTTTAATTTTGATATTACGGTTTGTTTTAAAACCTTCATTTTTTAAAAATATTTAGCTTGACAAGGTATAAATAATGACAGTCAAAATGTTAACATTTTTTTACATTAAAATATAGACAACGTTAAAAAATATTTTTTATTATTTGTCTCTTATAAAAAAATTTATAAAAATTCAAAAATTTTTTTATAAAAATGTTTTTTTTATTCCAAAACAGCTATTTTTTTTAGCCATTTTCTTGTGAAAAATACTACTTAGTATAAATCGTACTGGTGCATTCCACTAACGCTACAAAAAGGCTAAAAATTGCTTTTTTTTTAATTCTAGAAATTAAAAAATTAAAAAAATTTAATTATTTTTTTTTAGATAAATAATTATTATTAATAAAGTAATAAATATAGCTTTAATAAATAATAAATAATAAATTATAGCTTATACCATAGTATAAATATATGAAAATTGTAAAAAAAAAAATAACGCGAAATAATAATTGAATTTGTCATATCTTCGTGACTTACGCTGTACATAGATAGTAAGATATGGAATTTAAAACTGTAATGTTATTATATTATAATACACATCATATTATTATTAAATGAAATAAGTTGCGAATAATAAATAATCGTGAAACTTACTTTTACTAGTATATTTAAAAACCATAGTTTTTTCTAATGTCGATTACGACTGATTTGGAAATCATTATAAAATATATTTTTGGGTGATCAAAAAGCACAATAATAATAATAAAACACCACAGAAATAATATTTAGCATAATACGTCAATTTATAAGGAGGACAATTACATCAGTATAAATGAGATATACTTAAATATCTACACGATGCAGTTAAACGCTTGGCAAAAAAATTAAAACACCTCAAGCATTTAATTAAAAAAAAATTAGCATATAGCAGCGATAACATTCAACGTAGAAATTGAAGACAATAAGTGTATACGAGTATTAGCCTACTGCTAGTCTGTCAATTTTCAAATGAATGCCTGTCATGTGTAATAAAAACAATTAACGATATATATAAAAACTGTCGTATCATTTATGACTCTACACCATTACAATAACATCGTGCAAATTATTATGTGCAAATAAGTAATCAACTCTTTATCATCGTCGTCAATATGAACTAACAAGTAAGTGTAATGAAGCCGAGGCCATCGGTCTTAAACGATCAAAAATTATTGCGGACCATATTATGTATAAAAAACACCAGATGTTATCGTAACACCTCACTGAGTGTACAAAACGAGTAAGTTTAGTGGTAACAATTAATACAATTGACTAGAGCACTAGGGTTAATACAATAGAATACCGTGAAACTAGTACAATAGAGATAGCATATCAATCGCAAATTTGTGCAATACAAATTAGATACAATAGACCCCTCCTATATTACAACATAGTATTCTTATAAAAATTACTAAAGAAATATGAAAAAATTCTATTAAATTTAACAAACGGGAGTGGGGTACTATGTGTGAACGCCCAGGACGACAGGAAAATATGAAGAAATATAAATTATTAAGTTGAATAACTTTATTATTTTTTGATCATCCAAATAAAAAACCCAGCACAGTGGGATCGTGCCATAGTACGAATGCGGCATAGTAGTGATTAATATAGATGATATCTGACAGTGATTAACATACATCGCTATCATAATAAAATGCTTCAATGCAAATCTGTTAAATTTCCCAATAATTTGTATAAATGCAATTTCACGGTTTCAATGTTTTTAAATTGCATTTATATATTAAATGTTTATTAAATATTTGGACAATTGAAAATATAGATTTTTTTTAATTGTGATGTTTTTGCATTAGGCTTATTTTTTCTAATATACTATATTAATATTTCATTACCATCAGTGATTTTTTAATAGTTATAGCAAACTGAAAGTAAGTGACGAATTTTTAATGTTATTTTGCAAATCTAGCTTATAAATCAAATAACTCATAGAAAAAATATAGTTAGGATATTTTTCTTTTTTCCATCATAAAATACTCTAAAGAATATTTAATTTGATTCACAATCTAAGATCACACAACTCATGGAATATTTTTAAAAATTGATAATAATGTAATATTTTCCTTTAATTACGAATTTTTTAACTTTGATAATCGATTTCTCATGGTAGAACAACAATGATTTTATTTTTTAATATTGTAGTTATTGATGGTTATTTATCTGTCTCTCTCGTAGTTATGTATCATGCAGTAGATAAATTTTGAATATACTAAAAATAACTTTCCTAGGAAAGTGTTAATTACTAATCTTATCAAAGTATCTAACTTATATAAATTAATGATATCATGCTTAAATTCAAGCAGTATATTTGAGATTTTGGCGTAGGGTGGCTACATGAATTTTGACATCTCTATTTTTTTCAGAATCGTTATTTATATTAATGAGGAAAAAAAAGTAAACATTTTTTTTCTTTTTTTAAGCTTTTGATAAACTTATGATGATAATCTTAAAATAAAACTGAAGAACAATAAAAAATAATGGTATAACCAATACCTCTCAACTTCGCATTGAAGCTAAAGAATAGCGATATATACAAAATACATAAAACAATTTTTGATCAGTAAAATACAAATTTTAATTATTTAAGTGGTTCACTATAAAAAAAAAACATCACGTATTATGTACATGTAGATTGTTTATACGTTTTGGAATTACTGTGACAAGAAAAAGAATCTAATTCATTTTTGTGATAAGTTGATGGAATAACTCAAATTACATTACAAAGTGTTATTAAGTAATTTTATGTGTTCCAGTAGAAGCACAAGCAAAACCGGTTTGTTGATTTCTTGGATGAGAAGTAAAACATATCAACCTTATTTTTGTTACCAATATATTACACAGGTTAATAGATTGAAAACAGTATACAATAATTTAAAAGTTGATTTATTCAAAGATTCATATAAATCTTGATCAAACGTTTTAATTAATTTAAATAAATACTAATTAGATGAATACAATGTTATCAGAATAAAATACAGTAATTAGATATTTCTATTGACACTTATGTGATTAACGAAAGACAATTTTTTAATAAGGTGATAACTTTTAATAGGCGATATTATTTATTTAGTTTAAATGCCAGAATGGCAAAAAGAAATAATCATTTTTTAAATTTAACCAAAAGCGTATCAATTAATCATTTGGTCGAAGTCGAGTTTTTATATTTTAATGAAGAAAAATATTTATAAGATTTAAATTTTAATATCACCCTCTCACCTCTTTTATTTTATTTTAAGTGAACAAATGTTAAATCAAACAGTTTTTCCATTAATTGATAATCGAGTGTTTATACTAGTTATCTTAATAGAATAATTATATATATTTCAACAGGAGTTCCAATTAATTTCTAAAATATTCATTTACTTGAACAGAATAGGTTATATTGTGTTTAGGTATAAAATTACATTTCAAAATATATTGATGTTTCATTATTCTCAAATGATTTTAAAAAAAAATTGGTTTTACATATAACTTACTAAAATTATAATTTAAATTGTTATTTTTAGATTTAATATTCTTCTAAATCTTATCAATGTATTTAAAGCTATTATACCTAATAGCAATTAAACATAATAAACTAAATTTTTACACGTATGTAAAATTAGGACTCATACGAAAAAGTAATTTTTACAACACATCAAAATATTCTTCACTCTCTATCTTTATAAATTTTAACTAAAAATAATGTACAGAAATAAATATTTATTATCTTTTGAAAGATCAAAAAATAGTTTTTTAGGTTTCCAGTAGTAAATACTTAAAATACTTAAGAAATTAAACTCGAATTATTATACGTCCAATATAACACTATTTTATCTAAAAAGTACTTCTGCATTGTTTAAATAAACATCCTCATACAGTATTAAACGAGAACCTTCTTGTGGAAATTTTATCAGCGTAATGTTAAAAATACATCAATTAATTTACATACATTACTTCATTAAGAAGGTTATTAGCGCCAACAACACAACCATTTTGTGAAAATAATAAACTATATAAGTTAATTCAAGAAATAGTGAAAGGAATCAGGATAATTGCTCTAGACATTATACAGACTCAACTATTGAATACAATAGTTATGAATATACAAAGTAATTCGTTGTTAAAAAAAAAACGCTTGATATTTTTTAGTTTCACATATTTTTTGATTTATCAAATATTTATTATTTTGTGGCGCCAACCCTTATAATTATAAAGGTTTCAACTTAATTTTTTTAATAGAAATATACATATTTAACTAGCTTGTATAATAGGAAATGATCTCTATGAGAAAATAAAGGATCGATAATAACTTTTGAAACAGTACTTCGAAAGTCATGAACATTTTTTTTGCATTAGTGAGAGAAAGAGTACAACCAAGAAATATACAATAATATAAATAATCTGCCCGCCACGTCATTCCTCTAGACAACACCGAAAGAAATTAATTTCTATACGTTAGTATAATACTTTTAATATACACGTAATTTAAATGTAGACGTTTATTTTTCACATGAGAAGTGTAATTTTTATATAAATTATCAAAAAGATCGTACACAAATACAACATTTTTATTAAAATTTATCAAAATTTTCTCTAACAATGTATGCATTAAAAACTTCCAATACATGTGAATTTTTTTTTGAGTATTTATTTTAAAAGCATCATAACTTCTGAAGTACTGTCCTAAAGTTTATTATAGACTAGCCGTTATTTTAATTAAATAATTTCGCACTTTGTAAGTAAAATAAATATTTATGTTGCCAATTAATAAAATAAAATTAACACTCCTATAAGCTATAAGAGATAATGCTAAAAATTAATTAATAACTGATAAATCAATAAATATATGTAAGTAAAATACTTAAATTTTTATTTGAGTAGTAATTATTTATTTTGCGAGTGGTATAAAATAAATGAATCACTCCCGTTTACCTGAATTCTAATAAATTTAACAAAATAGTAAATTCTCCACTACTGAATATCCATTTTTTAGATACATTAATTGTGCTATATTGGAAAATCAACTTATAAGAAATAGTGTATTTCTTTACCGAAACAATCGAAATTTTCCAGCGAATGAATAGCAGCGTTACGATTTGTCATTTTTAGGTTTTGCAAGTCTGTAACTTGACTAAACAATGACCTTGCAATTCAAAATAATAAGAAATTAACAGAGGTGAAAACAACAGATTTCACTTATTCACATTTAATAACCTATATAAAATGTCAAACAATTCATCAATAACATCCTTCTCTTAACCTATATCTATTATTAAACTTAATAACAATCGTATTAATAATTTTTTTTAAAAGTAAAAATTTTTCTTAAAAATTGGGTCTTTCACCAAAACTTTGCTAAAAATGTTTGATGTCCAACAAAAAATAAAAATCTTCATAGTATGTATAAATTTTATTTTTAATTTTTAAAGGGACTCGGTGTACCTCTAATGGATTTTTCTATTATCTGTCAACGATTTTGCAAAATAATTTATCTAGTATTTTATCATTAACATAAATTATATTAGATAAATAAAACTAATCTACGTAATATTACTTTTTCTATCTCGGTAAATTCTAAAATTGTACGATTAATACAAATTAATTTTTATTCATGAAAGTAAAAATAAACAATTAAAAATTTTCGTATTTATTACTGGCTTGAAATAATCATGAATGTAATGTAAAAGGTGTTTAAACTCCGAATGCATTTGTATCAAAGGCACAAAATACAAGATTGATTAATACAAAATATCATATTATAATAAACAAGGAGATCCATTCCTTTTTAAAATCCTGGTCTCCTTCCAGGATATTATTTCAAAGTTAATAAAAACATTTAAAAAATAGTTTTAAGCATCACATCAATATTTAAAACGGTTGTTTTAAAATTGTGTAATTAAAACAAAATGATTGACTTTTAAATATAAAATAAAGAATTCAATATGAACATGAAATTTTTTGTACTTACTTGCTAACCAATAAATATCTTCAATAGTATTCCATGATAACTTAAAAATATTCAAGTAACTATAAAAAGGTATTTTTTTGATAGACTAATTAATGTAAACTCCTATAACATTGTTACCAAGTAATTCACTTGGTAGATTTTATATTTAATCTTTAATTACATAAACTGTAATCGTCATGTTACTTAAATAATTTTTCATTATTTACAACAAAACGGTCGACCAAGACGGCTGCGCGCAACAGTCACAATAACGTGTTATCAGGTAAGAGCATGACAACGGCTTGTCTAGTATGCTGCGAGTGCGCGCGTGGTCACTTCTAACTCGCAATAACAGAGAACCTGGTTTAGGTCGCCTCCGTTTGTGCTATCCCGTGATCAGATGTTGATAATGTGCAGTGTTCTATCCCAAATGGATAGCTCTGGGCCATCAAGGTCATGAATTTCTACGTTCTCACTAAAAACAATAAAGAAATACTCATCAATTGCTCTCAGAACTCCGGTTGATACCCGTATTTACATTACATAATTCACTTGTAATTATGTTATTGTATTTAATATAATATATTAAATCTTATATTTAGGATTAATACTAATTTCTACTAATTATAAACAAATTGAAAAAAAGTATTTTTAAATACACGAATCAGAATGTATATTATGAGTAGTAATTTTATGCGAAATTTGGACTCAAAAGATATAATAGTTAATTATGCTCATTAATTTTTCCTCGCATTTCTTAGATTATAAGTATACTTTAAGAAAAAAAAAGATACTATTAATAAACTAGGTTTGGTAGTAAGTTATTAAGGGGGCTAAACGCTCTATTTTTTAATATAAGTATAATGAAATAAATTTTATTATTTCATGTTTTCTTTATATGTAATGTGTCAATGAATTAATGAAAAAGAAAAATTAATCACACAATTCATATTCAAAATTTCAAGTATTTTTCCCAAAATTTCTAAAGGTAATTTGATTTAAAACCGTTATCTATTGTGGCATTAACATGCGATCATAATGATTGTTACTTTAAATTTAGAGTTTTATGAATACCTTTTAACACATTGCTTTTTCATATATTTTGTATGGGATATTAATTACTATATATAAATTTATTTATTTATATACATATTGATTATACAGAGTGATTGATGTATTATTTACTACTCAATATCTCCTATAATAATAATAAAAATCTTGAAAATATTTTTTTTTTGCTTTGTTAAATAATTACTACTAGTTATTAATTTATAAGTAATTATACTTAAGTAATACTTTTTAGGTCCGTACCTTATACATTATAATGGTACCAACTTTTTTTTTTTTATTTGAGAAATTGAATATTGAAGTCAATCGAGCGACTAATTAAAACAACCGGCGAACAAATATAAAGTGTCATAGATATACAGAATAGAAAATATACTGCATGCGAGAACGCAACTTGGCTGTCAAATGGTAAGATAGAAATCTACTATCTTACCCAATAGCCACTCAGTTTCGTTCTCTCCTGGCCCGCTGTATAATAATAAGTTCATAAGAAAATTGGCAACATTGTATTGATAAGTGTATATAATTAAAAGGGACAAGCGTTAAAATCGTTCTTAACGCTTACCATTGCGACGATGCTACTTTTCTTTTGAACTTACCTTTTATAAGTATTTGTCACTGTTATTTTCCGGCTGGACTGATATTAGTATTCACTTATTCAAATATCTATCAATCAAATTAAAAACGATCAATGAATTTTTCGCCATTTTTCAAATAATGAATGAATTTGTCGCCGTATTGAAATAATTTTTCGGTTTGCTGAAAACTGTTGTTTGACTTGTCGCTCAAATAAACTAAATACTTGCTATTAATATACCGTCCGTTAGGGTATTTTTCCATTTGTTATTTATCGCCCATTAGTATTTTAAACAGGTTGGATTTATCAAATGCATGATGTTAATTATTTCGGTTTAATTATTATTTTGTACACATTATTCAAGTACTTCTTTTACTACATTAAAATTTATTTTTTTTTGTACTGCTTTTAGCAATAGTTGTTATTTTTGATGTTAAAAATTTTTTTTTTACTTTTTATTTGAGACTAAATATATGTTATTTTTTTAATAATGCAATCGTTTCTGGACTCTAATAAATTTTGTTTAACTTTTTAATTAAAATTTAAAAATATTAATAATTTTTCCTATATTATTATTGTTTTTCCTTTTTGTTTTATTTTTAGACGAAATTGTTATTATATTTATGGCAGTTTAAAATTTTCATTTTACATATTTTTTAAGACTACATGTTCAGCCTAGAATAATATTATGTTCTAATTTATATTAATTTAATTTCATTACTAAATTTTAATTTAAATAAACAGTTGGTCTCCTCTAATACAATGATTTTAATTATTGTTATAAGTAATTGCCTATTATTTCTAATCAAATTAGTCAACTTTTTATTATTTAATTAATTTTTTTCTTTACACTATTTATAAATAAAGGATGGAAAATTTTAATTCGTTTTAAATAATACTTAATCACAAAAATAATAGGTCAAAAAATTATGATTTATTAACTTAGGACTCAATTATTTAATTGTTAATCGATTTAATCCAAATTGATTTAAAATAAAAATTTGAGAAATTCCTAATTTTTTGAATTTGAAGAAAATTCTAAATATAAATGTATAACTCTTAAATACTCCTTACTAATAACTTGTAACTGTACGTGTCCTGTGTGTAACGAGCACTTATCGCTTTTCTGTAGTATTCATTCGTCAAGCTATTAATATGACAATCGGTATTCTCATCACGACTCGGAGAGTACAAAGTTCAAGAGCTTTCGACTGTCGGTCGCTGCAATACGTTCACTGCGTTTAAGATAGTGATGGGAAATAATAACAGTAACAGTTTTATAACAGTTACTGCTTGAGTAGCAATAACAATGTGTTACTTGGAAGAAATAGTAACAGTTAATGTTATTTTGTGTTTAGCACAAGGCGGATTAATTTGATCGTAAATTATAAATTTTCCACTAAGCCCAATGATTATTATAACGGCAGGTTATTTCCAAATGAAATGGACGTTAAAAATTTTTTATGCCCTACAAAGATTTGAAAATTAATGTATAAAAAATATTAATAATTTTTTAAGTTGTGTACAGAAAAATTTGTATAAAACTCTAAATTAAAAATTTCATTAATTATTACAAAAAACAATTAAATATTTTAATTAGATTGATTTACAGAGTCTTTGCTTTATTATTGACCACTAAATATCTCCTGAGATAATAATTATCTCTATCTTTTTTAGCTTTGATAATTAATGTAATATTAATTTATAAGTGGTTAAATATGATTTAAATCTGCCCCCCTTATCATATTATAATTAAAAATTTTTAATCACTTATAAAATAGATAATCATTTAATTAAGTAAATGGTCGATAACATTGTTTAGATAACAAACTAAACAATACATTGGCAACAAATTCATAGTTTATTTTTTATTTGATAGACAAATTTAAAAAGAAAAAGAATACTGAAGTTAATCGAGTTAAGTAATAAGAACGACAAAATCAAATATACGGATGAACAAAATTAAAGTATCATAAATATCTAGTACAATAAATATATTGCATGAGAGAACGTGACTTGGTAGTAAAATGGTAAAAGAGAGGAAAAATCCTAATTCACTTAGTAATCGTTCGGTGCCTTCTTTCGTGTCCCGCGGTGTAGAAATTATGTCTGAAGCTAACTGGCAACGTCGTTTCCATAAGACTGTATAATAAAAAGGGACAGAGCATTGAAATCATTCTTATAGCTTACTAATACCATGTTGCCAGTTTATGTACAATTTATAGTAAATATATTGTACAATGAATATATTGCATGAGAGAACGTGACTTGGCGTTCAAATGTTAAGATAGAAAAAAGATCATACCCTATTCAATTGTCACTCATATGCGTTCTTCGTGTCCCACGGGTTAGAATGAAGTTCATAAACAAACTGGCAACGTTGTTTCCATAAGACTGTATAATAAAATGGGACAGAGAGTTTAAATTGTTCTTAATGCTTACGTATATCACACATTGCCAGTTTACTTATTAACATATAATTTATTTGAATTTGACGCGGTTTTTAAAATATTCGTTCGATCTGCTGAAAACAGTTGTTTGAATTTGTCACTCAAATATACTAAAATTATTGCTATTATTAGACCGTCCGGTTCAGTTATTTTTCTATTTGTTATTTATTGCCCATTAGTATAATAAATAAATTGCATTTATTATATATATGCTGTTTATTATGTCGGCTGATTTAACTTTTAGTACAAATTATTCATGCACCACTTTTACTGCATTATAGTTTTATTTTTTTGTTCTATTTATAGTAGAAATGTTTGTTATGTTTGATAGAAGTTTTAAATTTAAAATTTTCTTTTTACATTTTCTTTTATATATTATATATGTTGAACTTATATTAATTTAATAGGTTATGCACTACCAAAACTTTTAATTTAAAATTCAAAAATATAAATAATTTTTTCAAAGCTGTAAACTTAATAACAGTATTATACATTTATAATAAGGGTGATTGACTAACTGTGCCTCACAAATTTTCTTTAATAATATTAGTGTTATCATATATGTAATTATTTAATTTGTTATAAATCTTTGTTGAGCTACTTGACAAAAGAAATAAAGATTCCATATTCATCTCTTAACCATTAAACCAATATCAACTTTAGTTTTTCAAATAGCAACCCAGTTTTTTTTTAATTAATCTTGTTTTACATAAAAACAAAAATCAATTTTAATAAATTCTCAACGAGATATCATATTTAAAGTTTAACAAATAAGACAGTAGTCGGGTAAATACAGAAACATTAATATTTAGTGTACCGATAAGAACTATCGGTGTATTGTATTTTATACAAGATCACCTTATTACTATGAACCGGTACCAATTATTGGTTTACGACCCGTAAAATTTAAGCGTCTTTTATAAACCAACATGAGTAATACTCACATACTTTAAACTTTAATGAATCATAGATTGCTGATAATTGAATAAAATAAAAGATTTTTTTATGAATTTTTTTTTTAACTAAATAAAATCTGATTATCATAAAAAAATAATTTTACTCACTGAGCAGTCCAAGATAGAAACATAATATTTCATAAAAAATAAAAGATAACTTATATTTTCAGTATTAATTTAGTTAGTTAATCAACTAAAAACTCACTCTGTAAAGCTAATTAAAAAATGTATTTTTTAATTAGCTTTACAGAGTGATAATAAATTTTAAAATATTTATTTTTAG